TTTTGAGCCAACACTACTAACGAGTTCTAAGAAAGGCTATATCCTATGAGCTGTTCCAGGTCCTTACCAGCTACTCGAGTAATTCTTCTTCGAGTATCCTATCCTGGAAAATCGCCATGTACGGAAGCAAGTCGAGACGCTTTGAGAACCCGTCTTCTAGCGAGCATTAACACAATCAATCAAAAATGGGATATGTGCTCTTTAACGTAAATCCCATTTGTGAAATTTTGACGCTAACTTGCTCGCATTTCAAATTTATTCCTGTGCTTAGTGATACAAACGGCTGCGTTGGGACAAGAGTTGATGTCGATTGTTCAGAGGATTTTGCTCGAGTGAAAAGGAGCACTCACATGTTCAAAGTTCGCATTGAATTGCCGGTGAAAAGGTGGAGAGTCTTTTGTGCTTATCAGAAAATTTTTGTATAATTATTACTATTACTATTGCAGAGATCTCATATCGCATTCGATAAGTGGACAAAAATCGAAGCTGACCGATGCGCTGCAAAACGAAATAATTAATCAGGATGCTTTCAACTTAGAAAAGGTTTTTTTCTTTCTTTTTGAACAATAGCTGATACCTTTTCCTAATAGTTTGAGGCCAGTAAAACTTAAAATTGAACAAGTTGGTGATCAGTTACTGTATAAATAGGTGTCTTTTTAATGCGATACAGTACGCCTTTTCAATAATTGCATTCAGAATCTCTATTTAAAATAAAATTTTACTTAGACGACAATTATTTCTAGGTGCTTCCAAGTGGTCGACCGGATTTATCATCGTTCCAACTACTAGACGAATTTCATTGTCAAGTAGGACAGGTCACAGTCGACGACATGTGCGGTAGGGAAAATGTCAAGCATAGCCCTTATTTTTCATTTGAATAATTTTATAATGTTTTAGTCCCTTGTTCTCCGGGCTCATACCATTCACTGATAACCTCACAATGCGAATTGTGCGCTGAGGGCGAATATCAACCTCTTGCTGGAAGATCTGAATGCTTTAAGTGCCCAGAAGGCCAAATAACAGCAGGCGAAGGAGCAATAA